AGTTCCAAGACCCCCCCCCCCCTCCAGACTAAGCATAGGAACAGCCTTGCCTTGCTATCAGTCAGTGGGATTCGCTAAGCACTCCCAGCACTGCCTGGTGGGCTGCTGCCTATAGGAGGTAGGGGCATCAGAGCTGCTGTTTGGGGTCTCCTTCCTCTGTGTCCTCAGATTTTCCTCTCAGCCCAGAGTGTAAGTTCCATGGGGCCCCTTTGTGGAGGGCCCTGCTCAGTTTAAGATACCCCCTGTCCCAGACTCTCACCTTCCACTGTTTTCCCTTCAGCTATGAAGACCCAGTAGCCCTGGATGGTGGGGAGGAGGGCATGGACATCATTACCCACATCTTGGCCCTGGCACCTTGGCTTCTGAAGGACTCTGGGTATGGATAGGGCAGGTCTCCTGGATCTGTCCCAGTGTGTACTAGGCCTGCCCTGACAGTCATTCTGCCCCCATGCCTCCCGGTCCAGGTAACCCAGAAATGCAGGTCCTAGTCCTGCCTGGTTGCGCTGACCCATTTCTCCTCCATGTAGGAGCATCTTCTTAGAAGTGGACCCAAGACATCCAGAGCTTGTTGGCAGCTGGCTTCAGAGCCGGCCTGACCTGTCCCTTGATCTCGTGGCTGTGCGCAAGGATTTCTGTGGGAGGTGAGCTCTACCTACCCCACCCCTACCTCCATAGTCATAGCCACACTGGTTCTTCCACTCAGGCCATCCACAGCTCTGGCTGTGGGGAGAATGTGCTGTTCCCACACTCTGCTCATCCCCTGGGATTCAGGCAATGATTGGCCTCTTGTCCCTGTCTCCTTAGGCCTAGGTTCCTGCATATCCGGAGGTCTGGGCCACAGTGTGGCTGCCTTATGGAAGCCTGACCAGGGCCCCAGCCTACCAGAGTGCCTGGCTGATCCTTCTTCCTGGAATGCTACTTGGAGGGAGGTGATGGCACTTTCTAGAACCCAGATGGTTATGACATTTCCCATGGCTCTGTGATTCCCCAAGCTCCACATTTCTGGGAGACTTGGGGATAGAAGCAGGGGTGGGGATGTCCTTCTTGGGGTGGGAAAGAACAAGGATATCCATAGTTTGGCTCAGAGCTGAGCAGACCTAGGTTCCCATTCTGGTTTCCCATCACATCAGTGTGGCCAAGGGTAGGTTGCTCAGTGTCTCTGTGAGTGGAATTGCCTTGGGGATGTTGGGAGATATGGCCAATAAAGTGTCGAGAGACCAACAAATAGTCGTCTAATGTTTTGTTACTGTGATTTGTGGGTCCCCTGCCCCCTTGTCCCCAGGCAGTGCTGGGAGTAAGAGCTTCCTCCTGCTCCAGCAGGACTAGCCATCAGTCTCCCCTCTGGTGGGAGTGTGAGAGTGCAGTGTGGAGAAAGGCACATGGGTGCTCCTTTTGGCCTTGGATGCCAGGGCCTTGGGACTGATCAACTCACTCCTAGGGTTCGACCTAGCCCTCAACTGCCCTAGGTACACTCCTACACACCCTGACTGGGTCTAGGCTCTGAGCACAGGAGTGTCATCTGAATTTCAGCTCAGAGCTGACTGCCTGCTTTCTGGAGGGGATTGGGCTGAGGGTCTTTAGTGCACAGTTCTGGGGTCACCTATCCTCATTTATTTCACTGAAGGCTTGAGCCAGTAAGGAGTAAGCAGCGTTTACGTTTACTTTTTATTCTCATAGCTTTTGGCTAAAACATTCCTTCCAAGTTGACCTTGCAGTTTCAGGTAACCCATCTGTCCCTGGTTGGAGCTGGGGAGAGTGAGAAACCCAGACAGCGCAGGTAGCTGGTTGTGACCTCCACCCAAGCTCTGGTCTGTGCAGACTTGTGGCCACCAGGAGGCCCGAAAGCCCAGCCCTTCTGTCCACAGCGACAGGAAACCTCCCAGTTGGCAGGTGCTGGTGTGAATCTGCATCAGAGTGGGTCCTGAGGAACATGCCAGACCAGACTGGCTCATCCCACTGGCACTTTCAAGGGCCTGACCTGGTGGTACGGTGGCCAGAGGCAGTATGGTCTGGTGGTCAGTATCCTCTGCTAAAGCTAGGATGCTGGGCTCCAGGGCTGTGTCTTGCACTGGGACCTCGGGCAGCTCCTTTCCCTGCAAGAAGCTGGCTCTTCTGGCTCCAAGGCCAGTGTAAGGTGGCAGCCTCATTTTAGCCTCAGTCAGCCAGGTGGGGTGTGAGCTGGCATCTGAATCCTCACTCCTCCAGCAGGGACTCCCCAAGAGAAGATGTGGCCTGCCTGACATCCCATGGTGGGAAGTAGCCAAGTGGAGATGGGAAGTTAGGTCCCTGCCTTTGGGGAGTCTGTATTGCTGGGCTCATACCTGGCTTGAGTGACCCACTCCTTCCCCTACTGTGCTGAGGGTCACATCTGCCTTAGCAGGGGCCACACTGCAGCTCCTAAGGCTCCTGTGTCCTGCTCCTTGCCCAATGCCAGCCACGTGGACTCCAAGCTCCTCCTGACTTTGTTTGAGGAGGATCAGGGACTCCCCATCATGGCTGCCTAGAAGGAACCTGGGAGGGTGCTGTAGGGCACAGCCAGAGAGAGGTTCCTGGCTTTCTGAGCCCCCTTGTGCTCTCCAACCTCTGCCCACATAGGTCCTTACCAGTATCGCCCATCTCTTCTGCCTGTGCCCTTCAGCTCCTGCTGTCTTCAGCAGCATCTCAAGGCAACCTGCCCCATTGTTCCACAGCCTGGGCCACACCTCAGCCAGTACTGGCTTCCCTGATGGTTTCACTCTCCTGGCCTTGGACCTATCACCAAGGAAAGGTCTTGGCAAGCATGTGGATATGTCACCCCAAGAGACCATAATGATGGGAATTACAGTGTCGGGGCAGCTGGGGTCACAGAAGCAGGAGCAACCTTTGGAGACAACCTTCCTAGAAAACCATGAGGCTTGACTCCTCTGATAAAGAGATGCAGGCCAAGTGGACTGGCGGGCCGGGCCTCAAGCCTGCAGCTAGAGGGGTGGCCAGAGGCCCCTGTGGGGACCACGTACAGCACTGGCTTGATTGGGCCTTGGACATTGAGCTCTGATGTTGAAGCCACACCACCCTGAGTTCAGATCTTGGCATCTGCCCCTCACCAGGATGTGACCTTGGCCAGATGACTTCACCTCCCTCAGCCTTGGCTTTCATACCTGATAAATGGGACCCTGTGCTTTATCTCATAGGATGGTTCTGAGGAGTCCGCGGGATGCACCTTTGACGGGGCATTGTGTTTGCACCGCTTGCTCCAGAGAGCAGACATGTGGGGAGACACAAGGAGGGCCTGTACCCTTACGCGTCTGTCTGGTGCTTGACACCAAAACAAAGCAGGCAGAGAAATGGCAGTTTGGAAAGGAGGGAAGGCAGGGATTTCACTCTTGGGCTCTTGACGTCTACCTGCTCTCTGGAGATGGAGCCCCCAAGAGGCTGGTAGTCTGGCCGCCTAGATTTCCCTCAGCACCTCCTCTCTGCACTAGGACTTGAATGCCCTGAGGTCCAGGCCACAACAATCAGTGGCTCTGCCCAGGAAAGCCAGGCTTACCTGCCCTATCTCCTCCCTCCTTCCTGGGGCCAAAGCAGGAGATGAGTACCCCCCCACCCCCGCCCCAGCATGTGTTATGGAGCTGATGGTAGAGTCCAGGCTCTTCAGTCCCCTGAGATCTTGAGGGATGTGCCTACTGCCCTTCCAGCCTTCTTCAGCCAACCCTAAGCATGGGCAGGGGGTGTAGGAGTCCTTGACTGATGTACTGGGAAAGCAATTCCATCCTGTTTGCTGACAGTTGAGGAAACAGGCTTTGTCTCACAGTTGGGTGCTTGTCCTAACTGCCCTTAGGTTTCTCCATGGGGGCCCATCTAGCTGCCCTATTGAAATGTACCCCTAAACTCGTAAAGCCTTTTCTTTTTAATTTTTAAAGTTTTTTTTAATGTTTATTTAAAAATTTTTTTCTTAATGTTTATTTATTTTTGAGAGACAGGGAGAGACAGAATGATCAGGGAGGGGGCAGAGGGAGAGGGAGACACAGAATCTGAAGCAGGCTTCAGGCTCTGAGCTGTCAGCACAGCTGACATGACAGCCCCCTGACATGGGGCTCAAACCCATGAACTGTGAGATCATGACCTGAGCCAAAGTTGGATGCTTAACTGACTGAACCACCCAGGTGTCCCAATGTTTATTTATTTTTGAGAGAGAGAGAGAGAGAGAGAGAGAGAGAGAGAGAGAGCATGCGAGCACAAGTGGGGGAGGGGCAGAGAGAGAGGGAGACAGAATCTGAAGCAGGCTCCAGGATCTGAGCTGTCAGCACAGAGCCCAACACAGGGCTTGAACTCACAGACTGTGAGATCATGACCTGAGTCGAAGTCAGACACTTAACTGACTGAGACACCCAGGTACCTCGCCCCTAAACCCTTTTCTGCCACCACCCTGTACCTGGAGCCTGGGCCATTGACTGGTGCCAATCCCTGCCCTAAACCCTTGGCTGTCTCCTCATGACTTAAGTATGGTCACTGTGTCCTGCAGAGTCCAGGTCTGAAGAGGTGGGAGGGGGGTGGTGATGGCTGTGGGAAAGGCCCTGTGTGGACCCCTTTCAAAGCCCCATCAGTGCTCTGAGTAAGCTTCCATCAGAACAAAGTGTTCCACTGCTGACAGGCTTTGAGAGCTGCTTTAACCTTTTCAGGCCAGCATGTCCTTCCCTGTCCACCTTCGGATTCTTTTGTCCACTGTCCTGGACTGCAGCTTCCTCGCAGGACTCTCTATCCCCTAAACATACCTCCTTCCCTTTGCCCAGGCAGTGTCTCCCATCAGGAATGCCTTGCCCACCACTGCCATCCAAATGATCCCTCCTCTCCCTTCAAGCTCCAACATAGATGCTGCCTCCTCCAGAACACCTGCCCTGATCCCTCTGTCCTCCCTCCCTCCTACATACCATGCTCCTAGCCTAAACTTCTGCCAGCACTGATGACATTCTGCCCCATGCATTTGGAAACCTTCCTGTCTCCCTCATCTCTCTAGGGCCCCATGTGGGTCTGGCATACCCTAAGGTCAGTAATGTCCACTCATAAACCAACAATGTGTGTATTTTCTAGAATGGAGCTGGAACTTCCTGTGTGGCTTTTGTCTGATCTGACAGCAGCTTTTGCATATTCTGGTCAGTAGGGAGAGAAGAAGCTATGAGGGCCCAGCCTCCCACCCAAACTAGGCAGCTGTCCGAGTTAAGCCATGGCTACTGATGGGCTCAAGTGCACCTGATCTGTGCACAGCGGCTGCGCCAGGAGTACAGGCTGTTCTTGGCGGCAACGGGGGCAGGTGCCAGGTTTCCTGGAGCTCTGGGCCCTGGCCAGCCCCCACCCAGAGTCTTGGCCAGAACAGCGGCCTGATCCCCTGTCAGGACTCCTCAGTCCTGGACAAGGCTTCTGGATGGGGCTTGGGATTGGCAAAGCAACCCTACCCCTCCTGTGGCAGACAGAAAAATGGCCCCTAAGATGTCTGTGTCCTAATCCCCCAAACCTGTGAATGTGTTACCTCACATGGCAAAAGGAACTGCAGGTGTGATTAAGTTAAGGATCTTGAAATGGAAGGATTATCCTGGATTATTCAGATGAGTTCAGTGTAATCAACAAGGGTCCTTATAAGATGGGGATGGGGAAGGAGATTCGAGGGAAGCAGAGGTCACAGGGAGGCAGTGTGCTGGGGAAAAGGGCCATGAGCCAAGGAATGCAGACAGCCTCTAGACACTGGCAAGGGCGAGGAAATAGATTCTCCCCTAGAGGCTCAAGAAAGAATAGAATCCTGCCAGCGCCTTGATTTTCGCCTGGTGAAACTAATTTTGGACTTCTGACCTCCGGAGCTATAAAATGATAAATTTGTGTGGTTTTAAGCCACTG